TACGTAACTTGGTTAAGTGCTAGTAAAGGTCAAAGTTCGTTGGTAACTATCCCGGTAAATTGAAGTGAAAATTATTTAACTCAATGGTCAATAGGTTACGTTTTAAAAAAGGCATCTTTTTTATAATATAAGGTCAAATAAGCAAGCGGCCACCTGAATCCACCGAAATGGAAAGCGACCGCTGCCCATAAACATCCACAAATGCAGATGCGTTGCCTACCCCTACTTGAAGGAGGAGGAGACGCACATAAAAGGAGACAGTTTCCCTTCCTATGCGTCTCCTCCACCGTCGAATCCACTTTTCCTTTCCATCCTTTTTCTTAAGAAAAGGATGGAATGGGAAAGGGACTAAAATGAGACATGTAAATCTCAATTATTGGAATTTTATTTTTTTAGTCGTATTCGTGTTTAATCATAGTATGTTTAAAATTATTAACATGTTTTATAATAACGCTTTCGTAGTAAACGGCTCAGAATATATTGAACTTTTGCACACAGATAAAAGACATCAACGAGAGCGAAACAATGACAAGAGCTAATGCTGGTACACAATAATTTTCATTGTTCTACTAATTACACACATTTTAACATAAACTAAAACATAGACATTATAATAACAATTTGTTAATACACAGATACGTAATTTATACGTATAATCTTTGTCTCCATATCACTAATCTTTCAAATAGAATGATAGAAGTTTTTATACACCTATTAAGGCAGTGTTAGCCTACTCTTAAGACATGAAGTCTGCATTAGAGATGGCATTGCCTTCAGTCGCGTGTCGTCGAACTTTGACATTGTCGTGCGATGATGCCTCGATGGATTTCTATGCTGCGTTCACATTGATGAGAAATTATACTCCAGTAACTAAACTGCGGTAAAATAAAAATAGTAATACTGAAATAATTAATAGCGTTATAATTCTAAGAACAATTGTTTTGTAAGTCGAGTATATATTTTTAAATAGTGTAACTGTTCGCTTTTTTTTTTAAATTACGAGAAAAAAATTATAAAAAATATTAAAAATTAAATCATACGACAGTAAAGAATTAGATTTTGTTGTATAAATTTAAAGCACAAGGTAAATAAAAGGCGTTTAGATAATTCTTTATATGACTTTCACTTAGTTAAGCTAATCCAGTCAGTCAAGTCACAAACTCCGTCTAAACGGTCACGCTGTGTCAACAATGTCTGTTTACTTTTCACAGAGTACTATTACAACAGAGGTAACAAAATATTATTAATGATATTTTCTTTTTAATAAAAATTTCTAACGAATTAATTTACTTGTTTTAAAGAAATAGGGAGAGTTATGATAATACATACTTACCTACAAACATATTCATACCATTGCATTAGTTTGAGAATTTTGCCTAATTATAAATTCATAAAGTAAGTACTATTGTTTTCTAAAACAACTGCAAATATAAAACAAAATCTGTTTTAGTTCGTCTTCGTTAATTTAAAATACAAACTGACATCTCTGTACATATCTAATCTGTATCACCTGTGCTAGACATCTTTATGTTTTCTATTGTGCACGTTAGTTTTAATTATTAGTTAAGTTTTTCATGTGTTTCAAGAATTTCAAACATTTAATTAACAAATCCAATCATTCATAATAGCCAATAATTTTATTAGAAACATTTGATTTAAAATCAAAAGTGTCAAAGATTACGAGATTTAACAATCTTGATACTGGTAAAAGACGATTAAGATATGAATTCCCGTAAATAGGCAATTAAGTTTATGTCATGTCATTAAACAAAGTTGTAGCTGACATTCCGAATTCCTTTAACCATTAAAGAGACAAGGGAATGGAATAAAAACAAAAGACAGTAGCTAATGAAGAAACAATATGTCGTAACACATCAGTTGGCGCGGGCTGTGTCACTTATGATAATTCTGCATTGTATTGAAATGACATGGCTCCTGAACTGATTGGGCTGCTAAAGATGTTCAGCTTTCTGTGTGTCAATCTATACTAATATAATATAGTGTAAACACACACTACTTCGTGACGTAGGATGTCAGCAATGGGGATGTTTCCTAATTTTTGGAATAGCCTTTATTTTGTAGATAAACCATGTATGAACACGAAAAAAATAGTATAAAATATAATACTCATTATTTCAATAAAAAAACACGTAAATAAAATCAACTCTTTCATTTCCCCCCAAAACGTCCCATGACGTCACTTCTTTGCATACGAACCTCGCGTCACGGCCTGTCACTGTCAATTTGAAAGAACCATTGATTGATAATACTCGTAAATCTTTGTTGTCTAAAGTTGTTTTTAGTAATGGAAATAAAAATGAAAAAACCAAAATGAACAGAAGGTGATACTTTTAACGTATTAATTACACTTGTTGCTTCTCGTGGAAGATTATGTTTGTGTGTAAACAGTGACTGCGTCCTACACCAGTGTGACCAGGTATAAATTAAATTGTACTATAAGCTACTCTTATGAATTTTGATATATTTTTCTTTTGTAATATTCATAAAATGTTTTGATCATAACTTATGTCGTAATTATAAAAACACTCAATAATGGAGTCCTCATAATATAAAACACGCAAACTCAATTATTAAAATCATTTAGAAAAAAATATAACTACAAAATGCAATGACATTCACTGAAGTTGGTCACACTGCCATGTTATATGCAAGACAGTGACGTCATTGGTGTTTGAGATCGAGTAATGGAGGGTAAAAAATATTGCAGCGTTTTTAATTTATATTTAATTTGAGACAAACATTCAAGGTCTCTAAATGTTATTATAGGTTATAAAATGCTGTCTTTAAAATATTAAACATAACTTTATTTGGATTTGTAACATTAGGAAACATCCCCATTACAGCACATTTTTGAATAATTCATACTTCAATAAAAACTACACTTATGTCACGCTTTAGGCTATTTTTACGCTATTAAACTTAAAGTAAATAAATTGGAAAGAAACCTTCATGTTGGAAAGGGACCATATACTACAAGCTGCCAACATGAAGTAAACAAGATTGACATTGGTTTCATTTGAATTTTATAATTTCACGCGGATGGAGTCGCACGGGAACAGCTAGTTTGTTTATGAATTCTTTAGGTATGTACCAAACGTCTGCGACCTTCGGTTCGTACAATCGATAAACCCAATTTCAACATGTAATTTGATAATATCATCGATATTATTGTCTATAAAATATTTTATTATACAATGAAAAGAACTCGTAGTATTGATATTGTTGTCGTATTATTGTTATAGCTAACAGTGAAAAATACTAGATAGAAACTGAAAGTAAAGGTAAACCGATTGCAATGAAATTGAAACTTTATGTTTATGGAAATTGAATTTGGAATTCTCTAAGAAATCAAGAATAAAATTAAGCTTAACTTACGTTTCCACTGAGGGGTTCCCAAAGTTAGGGGTGATAAGACTTTAATCAACCATGCTGACGCAGTGCGGATTGGACTTTACAATAAAAATCACGACGAGAATCGAACCTGGACGTTATGGTCCGGTTCGTTCAATCGCTAAACGAGCTGATGTTTACTATTAAAATCACTGGTTTAAAATTAAACTTGTTTTTGTGTAAGCAAGGAAGGGAGAGAGGAACCTTGACACAGATAATGTCGCTATCCGATTGATATAAATCACCTCTCCAATTAAGTAACGCCTCTCAAGTAATTGTAGGGATTCGATCCCGGCCAATGGACTTTGACGCAATGCACTTTAGCGGTAATACGATATTTGTTTATTCTGTAATCTGTAATATAATGTAAACATAAGTTTCCGAAATGTCTATATTTTGATCACGAAGAAAAGTAATCTAACAAAGAATATTAGGGAAAAAAGAAAAAAAACGTACTCGTATCTTTATCTATTACCATCTTATTGAAGAATAATAATTTTAACTAATCAAGATATCGCTAAAAATGTCCAAAATGTTTATATTTGGAATTAAATGCATCTTGATACATATTTAAGAACGTATTTACATATTTACGTCCATCAGCAATTGGCTCTGAAAGAAGATGAAAACATCAGAACTTTTTTCATTTCTAGTATTTAATATAAATATAGAAAGTACCAAAAATTTGCATATTCATTAATAAGTTGCTTAAAATAAAGAAAATTTACAAAATTCATCACGCAAAGATAACTAAAATAAATCTAACGTTGCGTTTTATTAGCCTTTTACTGCTGTCATGATTATTTTTTATTTAAATAAAGAGAAAACGTTACAATGAAAAAAAAAATAAATATGCTATTTCAAACACTCTGAACAAATTTTATTAGCTGTAACAAATTTATATTTGTGCTTAGATCGTTTGTAAATCTTTAATCTCTTAAATTATACAATTTAATACCGCAATAGAACTCTCCAAATGTGTCCAGTGCAAATTGACTTTAACATTCAAATATCCTAAATCTATTAAAGCATTAATCAATTATTTTAATAGATACAATTAAGGAATGCTTTTACCAAAAATCGCCCGATACAGTTTGCCCGTAATCCGAATTCGTCCTCGACAGCGCGCGCCGGATGGACCGAAGTAAAAGTTGGCGGCAGACTACCCGCTATATAAGCGGCGGCCAGCTCTCCGAACTATCATACCACCAACAGTCACGGAGACCATAACAACAATGGCAAAGTGGAGCATCGTAAGTGTTTACCAGGAGTGCAGTGATAGTGCATACGACCTAGTGTAGCGACGCGCAAACCGT